AATGCACACCGGAAATCTATCAAAGACAGAAACACTCAATTACCGGTGGGGGCACATTTCTTACAGGAGGGCCACTCTCTCTCCAATCTCTCAGTCCTGATCCTCAAGGGAAACTTACACAACACTTCCCAGAGACGAGCCTATGAGCTCCATTTCATCAACCTGCTGGATACTAGAGATCAGGGACTAAACATAGACATTGGATTTTTGATACATTACAATCTGCCTGGCAACTGACTCCCCAGCCCAGCCCAGCCCCTGGCTTCTTTACTTTTCATCCCATCCAGGAAGAGCACACACCAACTGCTGCAGCTTCCTTAGCCTGACGAAGGGTTTTTGAACCTGAAAGCTTGCTCAATAACTATTCTCCAACCATTTGGGTTGGTCTAATAAAAGATCTCAAATTCACCCAAGGAACTTTGTCACCCTAATTTGAAGCATTAATTCTGCTGCGTTGTTTGAGAAGCAAACCGCAGTGAGTTCTGTGTAAACATTGGAAGAAGAAATTCAAGTCAAGGGATGTGTGCAATTTGCTAAGTCCAGTAGGCTTCTCTTGTGGTGATGTTGTAGTAGAAGTAATCGTGCTAATATTACTAATATTACTAATAAATAGTAGTAGGCAACCACTTATTCTCTGGATCATGGTGTACATATCAGAGGTCTAGTCAGATGCCTGATGAATCCATTTGTGGCCGACGAGCCCAATTTGAGATAAACACAGCTTGTTATAAATTTCACAGATCTATATGTCTAAGTTGGAGTCCAAGTTTGCAGCATGCTGCTTTCTTCTTTCTTCCTTGCTTTGCTTCCATTCTCTGGATCAAAGTACTTCATGTTGAGCTGCACCCGATGCCAGATGTTCCCTCCAGATCAGACTGGATTCTGCGCACTCCTCCCTCTCTTCTGTGTTGATTGTTGAACAACTTTGTATCATTTTTACACACATTGTAGTACTACTGTAGAGGGTGACCCCGATTTTCTAGGTCTGTCTCGAATCTCATTATACAAAATGTTCTTGGGGATACGGCCTTCTCCTATTCTCCTGACATACCTGATCCATCACAACCTGCACTTCTGGTAGTAGTTTCTAAGTGTGTCAGTCCCACACACTCCAGCACCTCTGGTTGGTATTCTTTCTTGCCACTTTATTTCAGGATCTTATGCAGACATTTCATGTGGAAGTTGTTCAGTCTCTTGATGCGTCCAGCAAATGTAGTTCATGTTTCTGAACCATAAAGCAGGCATGACAGCACACAAGTCTCATAGATTTGCATCTTCACCTTAACTGATAGCTTGCTGTTATTCCATGGATGTTTTCGTAATAACCTGAAATTCTTTGCTGCTTTTCTGATTCTGTTAGTCAGTTCAGTCTGAAGGTCAAGATTCCTGCAATCGTAGAACCCAAGTAAGATGCCTGCTGATCATGGAACCCAAGTAGCAAAAACTGTCAATGACACCAAGAGATTTATCCTCCAGAGTGGTATTGGGTATTAGTTCTTCTAGCCCTTGGTACATGATCACAGTCTTCTTGAGACTAATTGCCATTCCAGAGCTCTTGCATGACTTGGAAAATCTACCCAAGAGATTCTGCAGGGAGATTGGCTGTGGGCAACCAAGGCCATATCGTCCTCAAACAGGAAATCTCTCCAAACTAGTTCTTTCACCTTGGATTTCTCTCTGGACCTTGCAATGTTGAAGAAGCTTCTACTGTATCTAGTTTGGTCTGAAGATAAATGCCATCAGTGCTGTCCTTAAATGTGCAGGAATGAAAAGTAGATGTTAAAGAGCCCAGGGGCTAAGACATCCCTGTTTCACCCCGTTGTTGATGTCAAAGGTGTTTGATTCTTTGTTTTCCTACACTACAGTTGCCTTCATACCTTGATCTAATAAGCGA